GGCCCCTTTTTTTTTTTTTTTGCCTATTCCGTCCGTGTGTTGATTGTTGTTGCGGGAGTGCGTGCGGTTGCTTTTCGTTTCTCCCCTCAGGGGTTGGGAACGCGTAGCGTGGTAGTTCCCCATGCCTATGTGCTACAGCTTGTTCACGAGGCTGGTTCTCGACACCCGTCAACCAATGACGCTGCTCCACACCCCTCCTTATCACGTCGTGGCAAACCAACGACAGGTTGACTTCATGAGCAAGCTGTGGACCTGCCCCTTCTGCATGCAGCGGAACCACTTCCCCCCCCACTACGCGGAGAACATCAGCGAGAGCAACCTGCCGTACGAGCTGATCGCGCAGTTCACCACGGTGGAGTACGAGCTCACCACCCCGCCCCACGGCCCCCCCGCGTTCGTGTTCTGCATCGACACCTGCGTATCGGAGGACGAGCTCGATGAACTGAAGGACTCGCTCCAGCAGGCGCGTGGTTGGTGTAGTTGCTGTTGTTGTTGTTGTCGATGATGGCCTCGGTTGTGGTGTTGGCGTTGGGAGTTGCGGTGGTGTAGATGATGATGACTTCGGTTGTTGGAAATGATGGTGAGGATGATCGCGACGACGAGGCTGTGGTCAACGTTGCTGCTGCTGTTGTTGGGCCTGTTGTTGATGTCGAATGCTGGTGTTGATGACGATGATGATGCCGCTGTTGGAAGTGACGAATCAGGATGGTAAAAAAAAAAAAAATACTCCCATCGCCGATGGGATCGAAGCCGGGAACGGGCAAGTCCTGGAGCGGCCGTTGAAAGTTAAACCCGAATCGTCATACGTTGTGACTACCGTCCAACCAGTATAGTCAGCGGAACAAGTTGAGGCACCTATTACTGCCGTGGACCCGTGTGTTCTGGATGAAAGAGATTTTTTTTATGCTGGTTGGGACGGTCAGACGATTCGGATTAACTTTCAACAACCGCTCGAGGACTTTCTCCGGATTGGAGAGACGCTGAATCTGAAGAACGAGGTAACGAAGACGAACACTTGAAGGCATCGACCCTGCTGCGCCAGCGACAACGAACTACTTGTACAACACAACTTTTTTTGTCTAGGAGGGCCCGGGACCCCTTTTCGCGACAGTTGCCGATGATAATGATGTGGTCAACGTTGGTGCCTTTGTCAGTATGTTCATGACGATGGTGTTTACGGTGTGGGGCTCGTGCTCGTCAGTGGCGCCGGCGGTTCTGATGGTATTGGGTACCTGCCGTTGTATTTTGAGAACAGCAAGGACGCATGATGTCCCCGCCCCCGCCGCCATCCAAAGCCAAACCTGTAACGCCACGTGAACGCATGCGTGATCCGTTCAAATCCCTCTCCGTCTCACGGATCACGGCCTTTTGTCCACCGCGACGATGATAACGACAACAGACTCTCAGCCTGCTCCCGGAGGAAGCGCTGGTGGGACTCATCACCTTCGGTACCAATGTGATGGTGCACGAGCTGGGCTTCGCGGACTGCCCGAAGAGCTACGTCTTCAGGGGCGCCAAGGAGTACACCGCGGTGAAGGTGAGATTGAGCGTTCGTTCGTGCCAACCCCTCTTGTCTCTCTGCCCCCCGCCTCACTCGCAGAATACCTACCTCACGGCGCTTGGCGCTTGGTGATGTGCTTAGCCTGTCCGGTGAAAACCCGGCCTGTTCCGTCCCGGTCTATCGAATACGGCATGCTCGGCTATTAGTACACCCCCACCGCTCTCCCACCGGTAGTAGTCACAAGTCAGTTTTGTGGAACCCCAGAAAGAAGCTTGTCTGCTGCAGCCTTCACACACAGATGGTCCATCCCCGAGAAGAAGGTCTTCAGAAAGACGAAGGGCTTCGCCTGTTCTGCGGCCGGGGTGGGGGTGGCTACTATTTTCGGCGGTGTATGCATGGGGCCCCCGCTTCGAAAGAGGGTCTCGCGTGTGTCGTGATCGAAGGTCGCCACACGACTGACTGCTGGGCAACACTTGAGGCATGAGTCTCGATACCCCCCCCCCC